GGGAGGGAGGGAGGGAGGGAAGAAAGGAAGGAGCACAACTGGCCCCTACGGTGGTTTGGATGCCCCCTTCGTCCATAGGCTCATATATTTGCATGCTTAGTCCACAGCTGATGGATTATTTGGGAGGATTAGGAGGTGTGGCCTAGTTGGAAGGTGTGTGTTGCTGGGATGGGCCTTACAGTTTCAAAAGCCCATACCAGACTGCCCCCTTTGTGTGTGTGCGAGCATGTGCACATCTACTGCCTATGAATCAGGTTATAAAGTCCTTATCTACTGCTCCAGTGCCATGCCTACCTGCTCCCCATCATGACGATAATGGACTAAACCTCTTAACTGTAAGCAAGCCCCAGTTAAATGCTTTCTTTTATAAGAGTTGCCTTGGTCATGGTGTCTCTTCACAGTAATAGAACAGATAACACTTGCCAACCAGACACAAATAGGCATCACGATTAAACCACATCATTTTAAACATTCCCTTTATTGTTTATCCCCAAAATCTCATGTTGTTATCACAATATAAAACATGGTTTAACATTTAAAATCTCATAGTCTCACAAAAATGCATGAAGCGGAGAGTCGTTAAAGGACGGTGCTCCGTCCGGCTTATTCCCCGGAAGCTGCCTTGTTCCCTGCTCTATGTTCTATACTAACGTGGTAGAGGCACCAGCCTGGGAGCACTGGCCCTGGCTCCACGAGTCATTAGCGTGGCTGCTGTCTCTGCTAGTCAGCTCCATAGTGACCACGCCCCAAAGTATGGCTCTTGAGCCAATCCTATCATCACCCTCATGGTTCTCTGCTAAGCCCCAGACAATACCTGCCATACTCTTGGTACCCAGTAGAATGAAGACTCTTAATGCTTAACGATTATCCAATGGATTTATATATTTGGAAGTGCTCAATACACAAGATGCCCACACCATTAGAATTGTTACCCAATATCTAACCTTCTGATAGACATTGCTACCCAGACTGCTAGAGATCCACGGTTCTTCTTCCATGTTGCTTCCTCTCTCTCTCCTTTTTGCTCCTCCCCCTCCTTTCCCTCCCAACTCCTCACTCTGCCTACC